AAACTGGAAACTGTGACCTTCATCTATCTTTATTTTCTTTGTAAAAACTGAGGGTAATTTTAAAATGTGTTCAGCTACTCATAGGACTTTAAAAATGACAGAAGTTCTGTAATTAAAAAAGTACTCCAGAGAAAATTATAATATTTTAGAACATACTTGTGGCAACCTCTGGTAAGACATAGCTTGTCTAAATATAGGAACCAACATAAGAAGTTTCCACGCTCTATGTCAATGACATTACTGCACTGTAGAGTTCATAAAAATAAATCATAATTTTACCTCTTTCAAATAATCAACCTGTATGGCTTGGGTTTATACCACATAGTTCAAGTTTTGACTTCTTGATTTGACTTTAAAAATAATGTTACCTTTTTCATTTTTTCAGACATCTTATGCAGTATAATTTCCCTTAAAGTGAAATTTTGAGTGATCATAACTGTTGTAAATATATATTGAAGCTCAATTTTTACTTGATATGCTATGCGTCTGCTTTTGTGTATGGCCTAAAAAAGGGTGGAAAGGAAGAAATGTACACAAATAAGCAGAATGTGTTTTTTTCTTACATTGGGAAACTGACCTGCAAAGCCTCCCAACCTATGACAAGGTTATGATAATGTAAAATTTTAAGTATTTTCTTTCTCATATACTTCATTTTGAAATACTTAAAGTGTTCAACTCAAAAGGCTGTTTAAAAAAAATCAGTCAGTATTTTATCAGTAATTTGGATGGGTTGGAAATGAAAACTAGATGGTATGTGGATAGTGCTAAGATAATTATATAAATTAACTACACAGTATTTCCAGAAAGTGGGAGACAGAGCTTTAGAGACCAAAAAAAATTGAATGCTACAGTGTACTACTGACATATTTCTATCTCAGTGCCTATGATTTTGTTTTCTTTCAAGTCATAACACTTGACACCATTAATAACTTTGTACGTATTTATAGGATCATTTTAGCCAAAACCGAAAATGCTATATCTCTTTTCCACCACAAACTCGTGGAAGTGGAGGATTACATGGCTTTCACAGTGGTGTTTAAGCAGCACTATCAGAAAACTCTTTCCAAAACTCAAACTGTCCCCCAGTCCTGTCCCTGAATTTTTCGGATGTTGACCGGTCTGTTTGCACCATCACCGCCGCAGGTCGAGGGCCAGGACGGCAGCAGGAAGGAACTTGTCACTGGGCAATGGGCTCCCTGGGAGGGCAGAGCGGGTAACCCGTGTGCAGGCTGGAGAGCGGGACAGCCGCGCTCCGAGATGCTGCAGTGCGGGGGAGTGAAGCTAATCCTGCCTGATGTGCTGGCTGGGGGCTGAGGGAAGCCGTGGCCTCTCCGAGTGGGGAAGGACTGCCCTCCCCTCCCGCAGTTTATGTGTGAAGTTGTCTGAAAACATCCCTGGAGAAGAAAAATAAAACCTGAGGGTTCTGTTCACCCCTCCAGTTATGTTTTTAAGTACCAATATTCCAACATGAGAACTGGACACTTTGAGGGACAGCCTTGATATGCTGCTGAGTTTCCCACAGCTTTCTGTCAGTCCATCTGCCAGGCAGAGGATATAGCATTTTCCAAAATGATAGAGTTATCTGTACATGTGGATCTGAGGAGGCAGCAATAGTAAAGGAGCCGTGTGGGAGGGCGTAGGTATCTCAGCACTGCAGGTACACCTGCAATTTCCGGGACTGGCACCAAAGAGAAGTGCAGTCAGTTGGCTGCAGCAGCAGCTGAGAAAGACTGAGGGTGTTACAGTGTGTCGCTGCCTCTAACAAACAATACCCAGTGTAACAGCAGTTGCAAAGGTCATCCTCAATAGGTCATCTTTGCACAGCTCAGAATTGTTTTCAGTTTAACTTAGTAGCTCGTGTAGGTTTTAGTAGTTGGGTTACTGCAGTGAACACAGTGCCACATTAATTCTCTTTAGCTCTAGAGAACCCTTCTTGTTTTCAGTAAGTAAACACGACAATGATGCAGCAAAATTTCTCTTCTTTTTTTTTCCTTTACTTGGGAAAAGATGTCACAGAAAATTTTCAAATCACTGGACACGGTTTTTGACTTGGCTTTATAATACCAGCAGACTTGAATTGTATACTACTTATAAATAAAAATAAAAATGAGGACAAGACACTAGCTATGTGCTAGAGATGGCATTTTAGAGTTAACTTTAAAAAAAAAAAGTTTGGCTGAACTTAGATCTTGTTTTCATTTATCTTTGCTATGGAGGGACTTAAGAACAATATTTTTTTAATATAATTGCAATGAATTAAGTAAATACTGTGAAAAAGCAGATGCTACATAGCTTCACTAATAATTTTGGAGTGCAGACTTGACCCAAGTGTTACTGCGATTTTCCTGCATGTGCCTTACAAGGAGAAGATGTGCCATACAAGCCTTTTCTGGCAAGTTTGTATTCCTCTTGCCAGCAGGGTAAAGAAGGGAGTAAATCCACCTTATTGAGCCTCATGAGGGGTGAAGTTGAAGGAAATGCCAATTAAGCCTCCATGTATTCAATCTGAGTTGCTGTTAACCCTGTAGTATGCTGGGACTGTGCAAAAATTGCCTGTCTGTCATGACAATCAAATAATCCAAGGTTCAAAAAACAATTTGCAATTGGACTTTCAAAGTAACACAGAAGGTTTTAGATACCACCTGGAAACCTTTGAAAGTTTTCCTAACTAAAGTTGGTTTTGTCTGAGGTTTTTTTGTTGTTTTTTTTTTTAAAGTGACATCACTTAAAAGCAAAGCCATTAAAAAATGGACCAGTTATTTAGGTAGCATCACTTATGTGATGTCCCAAGTGCATTGAAGAGGTATTTTTTCTCAAAGACTTTCTGGAAAAAGAAATGCACAGGTCACTGAAGAAGATAGAGCTTTTTTTCCAAAGAATTAAGAGAAATTAGGAGGATGATTCACAGAAGAGTATGAATATAGATTTCTAAGGCCATGGTAAATAAATATAAAGCTGCATGATTCATTCATCAAAATACAAGGACACGGTTCCCTGTCATTTTTATAAACCTTATCTGTAATGCCAGCATGATTATTAGCTGAAAGTCAACGTTCTTTCTGTGACCAAAGATTGTATTAATGGCTATTCTGGAATGATCAGTGCATTGCATTCTGACACACACTGAGAACAGCAAAGTTTGCATAACATTCACATAAAACCGAGTTGCAGAAATGCAATACTTGGAACAGACAGGTTTGGTGGATGTTTGCTACAGCATTTGTTGTTCTGTCCATCTGCTTGAAAATAATCAGCTACATTAAATTTACAGCAGACATCTCTCTTTCTTTGCCAGCTTGCTGGCAACGTGGAAATAATATGTAGAAATATGGGTAGCATCTTTTATACTAAAATTATTTACCCCTCTACTAGGACCTTAGGGAAAATCATGAAAATGGAGGATGTGGAAAGAAACTAAATTAAGTGAATAAAATACTAGATATGAATTGCATAAGATACATACAGTTATATTTATATTGCAGAAAAGACTCAGGTTAGACCTCATTGTTATAAGGAGTAGCATTGTGCCTCCTGGCTGGAGGTGTCCTGGTAGCTGCAGGTGGTTCTCGTCTTCCTGTGGGCATTGTGCAGGGAGAGCTGTGCAAATGCTGCCTGAACAAGGAACAAGGCCAATAATTAGTGTTTTGGTATCCTGGAGTTTTCTTTGCACCTCTAGAATACACATGATCAGGACAGTTGTGATGGCATTAACAGCAGGGTGCCGGTACATTTAGGCTTGTGAAATTACATAAGACACTATGACACAAGACACTGAGATTGTGGCATGCAAATGAAGACAGAGATGGGGACTGGAAATTGGGACTGGAAATAGCAGATTATCTTTCTGAAAGATTTTTGAATGTTTCTTGATTGGTTGGTTGCTGTTTTGTTCTGCGTTTTGTTAAAAAAAAATCTCTGACTCCTGAAACACGTGAAGAAAGAGGGGGCAGATGCACTGTCTCTTAAACAACTTTAAATAACAGTATTAATGATATGAATGAGTGACTCAGAGAAGAAAAGAGGACAAAAAGCCAAACATTCATTTCCTCTTTCTTTCATCACTTTCCTGGAAGGCATTACATCAGCTTTTCTTCACTGTGCTTTCACTTTAATACCTCTGCTGGTGTAAGGGCCTCAGAAATCAGCCTAAACTTGCAGGGTGCAGGAGAGGGGTGGCCGCAGAAGTGGCATCGGGGCTCCATGTGTGTCCCAACCATATCCTATCAGGTGTGGTTGGGACACACATGGAGCTGATGGCACCATAGACTCAAACGTGTGACATGTGCCCCCAGGAACCAGGGAATCGCAGAGCTCATGTTCCGTGGGATCAGCCCCTCTGCCTGCGTGGGGCTCGTGAGCAGCTGCCGCTGTGCCAGCACGGGGAGTGCAGCTTCCTCTGCAGAACCTCCCAGTACAGCTTATGTAGTCCATTGCATAAACCACTGTTCTGTAAAATCAATCAGAAAGCAGAGTCATGGTGACAATTGGTTGAGAGAGGATTTGATGTTTGGGTTTTTTTGAGGGAAGGAAAAATCTAAGGATAGTTAAAAATAGTTGTTAAATGAAGAAAAATGGGAGGCAGCTTGATAGCACGTGGGGGGTTGTTTATTGCAACTTGCTGATTCAAGTCGATATTTAAATCTCTTAAAAGTATTGAAGGGGCTGAAAAATCATAATGGCCAGAGCACTCAAGCCTGTACAATTGCATGAAACCCTGTAACAGCAACAAGAAGCTGCTCTCAAATGCCAAGCCTATAACTAGCCTAATTTGAAATGCTGGTTAGAAGCTATGGGTCTGCAGTTTGCATGCCGATTATCTGGGCATCAGTGATTTTCTCTCATTCTGTGCTGTGATAATAGATAATAAATGGGTTATTTCCTTAGCAATCTTTAAGTTCAGTTATTGGGATGCTGGAGGCAGACGGTTCGCGAAGAAAGTCTGTCAGCCCCAGAATTTGTTTCCCTGTTGGTTTGTCAAAGCTATTCTTTTGACCTTCAAGGTGCAGAACAGGGTTCATCTATTCACTCAAGCTTTTGCCTGAGGAGAGGAGACTGAGGGAAATCAAGCCTGTTCTTGGATCACAGTCTATTTGGCTTGACGTTGTCAGTAAGTGTTATATATCACTGTAAATGTTTACTTAGCCTGTTAGTGAAGCACACTTTATAAGATGAAGGATATAGAAAAGCAGGGTGGATATGTGCAAAGAGGGAGACAGTTAAATGGCACTAGGGCAAAATAACAAAATGAAAGAAACTAAATGCATTGGGCTGCATTACAGTAAAATACATCTGCACTGAGGTGGACGTTGGCAATTATTTTCTGTGATTTTTGGAATCTAAAATGCATCTTCTAAAGTGGAATGGTGTAGATTTTCATTAAATTGCATTTTACATCTCTATGAAAATATGTATTTCGATTTAAAATATAACAGTGAAAGTTGCATGGTAGGAGGGGTATTTACAGAAAGTTGAGCTGCTCACCCTTAATATGTAGACTGGTTAAAAGTAAAAGCTGAGTGTGAAAATGAGGAAAATCCTAAAGCCACAGTGCAATGGGTCTCTGTTCTTCCAGGCTGTTCCTGGTGTGCCCTGGTTCACAGGCAACAGAGTTCCCAAAACCTTTGCATGGCAAGGCTGCTTCCAGCTTTCCTGCACAGAAGTGCTCAATCTGTGTTACATACAGGGCTATTGAGAGCCCAAGATTTATCAGTTAAAAAGCTTTTGGCAATGTTATGTTGGCTAAAAAGAGATCTGCCCATGAGCACTTACTTGCATGGATGGACATTCACATTTTAAGTTTGAAATAAGTAGCTTTTACAGATGTGGTAGGTGGTCATGTTTATAATTCTCAAATTATCTTTAAATTTCAAGCTGTCTGGAATGCTTTGCCTGAAAGCTTCTCGCCAAAAGAAGTTGGAGTTTAAATCAGAACCAGAAGTTTTGTCTGGTAAAAGTAGTGATTAATTTTTTTACATGGGAATTTTCTTTTAATTGTAACTTTTGCTCTGATTCTGCTTGGAAACAAAATAACAAAGGGCTAGATCAAACTTAACCAAAAATTTCCAGGGGAAAAAAAAAATAAAATTAAAAAAATAGTCTCATTTTTGAGCAGAAGAAGGAGTTGCATTTTCTGGTAAGCTTTTCCTGAAAGTGTTTTATAAATCTGAAAGTAGGTATTGTGGGTTTAAAGAAGAAAAAGAGGTCTTTCCCTGCTTTTACAAAATGCATTCAAAAAGTAACAACTTATTCCGCAGTCTTTTCACTGATATATGTGCAGCAAAAGCAGTATAGGTCCATTGCTGTGCTTCACCCAGAGCAGAAGTCACCCTGAACTCACAGAGCAGGCACAAAGTCTTCCTGAACCTGGGTGGTGATCCCTTACACCATCCTGTAGAGGTGCCTGGGGACTACACTCTAGTGTTGTATTAGAAAGGCATTTCTAATACTCACTGGGGCACATGAGAAACCTCTGTCTGGTCCCATCCCAGTCCAAGCAGTTACAGCTGTGTGATTACAGCCAGCACAAAGTGATGCAAACCCTCCTTTCCATTTACTATCCATCCGTGTAAAAATAGAGCATGGCTGGATCAGACTACTGGATACACTGAGTAGGGATAAAAGGAAAGAAAAGAGATTTTATGAGTTTGGGTTGGGATTTTTTTTTTTTAATAATTTCTAGAAACTATAAAAATCGGCTTAAATGTCAAATTTCTGAGAAATTATTTTTATGGATAAATCTGATCAATATAAACTTCCACCCATCCCCCATCCAACACGCTTGGTGAAAAAGCTCATCTCTGAACATGCCTTCAAATGCTCTGAAAGTGAGGATCTGGGCACTCTGGTTATTGCTAACATATAATGTTGTTTAAAAAATAATAATTTGCCATGAAATTCTGTAGGCAATGTGTTAGGAAAGGAATTAGGAAATACAGTGAGTAAGAAATAGATTAGCTTGGGCTATTATAAGCAACCTAAATTTTTTAAATGGCTGTCCAGTTTATCTCTCCTGCAGCTGTATCAGACCTTGTAATGGGATTAGTCTCTTCCTTAAAATCTTTTTTTTTTTCAGAGTCATATGTTTCTGGCAGGGAATAGTATTCCAGTTATCTCTCCCAAAGAGACCATGCACTTTAATATAAAGGCAAAGAGGGGGCACCTATAAAGACTGAGTCAGAGTATGAACTCCTTTTGGTGTGATGGGAAGTGGTGCACAGTGTCTGCCTTGCACAACAGGCCGGTTCTCATTTTGTTTAGATACAAATAGTGTTGCTGGAATAACTTTGTGGCTCAGTACTGGACTGGATGAATGCTACAGAAATCCCATCTCCTCACTAAAGGGGGAGAAGGAATTGACTGTTTAAAAAAAATCTTATGCTTTGCCATCTCTAACCTGAACAACGACATAAACTGACCACAAGTGCCCAGTAAACTTCAAGTGTTAAGGTGCTCCTAGAAGGATGGGTGTCCTGTAGTTCAGATTTTCAGTGATCTCAGCTGTTAAATAACTGCAACACACTGTAACTTTTCCCAGTGAATGGAGCACCCTGATTGTAGAGCACCCTGACAAAACTGGCACCCAGAATCAGGGGATAAATTGCTAATAAACAATTGCTAATACTAGAAATGAAAAAGCAGAAAGAGGAGTAGGCTCTGTGAGTAAGCAAAATTGCTGAAGCTGTTGAGGGTATCTCCAGTGAGACCTGCTCTGTCTAGCAAATGGGAATATATCTGGGATACAGTCAACTTGGTCTAGTAAGTAATTTATGTCTTTGAAAAAGTCAACTCAATACATCTATAATAGCTAACCATACCATGGTTTGCATCCTGGAAGCATGGAAAGCACACAACACTCTGTGGACACGTAACATGCTCCTTTATGAATGCAGAAGCCTTTCCTGTACTTCTGAAGGGATCTGCCAGGGTCATGTGTGGAGCACCAAGAACAGTCCTGTCATTGCTCTTAGTGATTTATTTTGCTCCTGATTTAAGCGGGATTATGAATTGAGGTTAAATTGTACATCTCTTTAATCCCTATTGTGGGTAGTTTCAGGACAGATATGCATGTATCAGGAATTCTTAGCAGAGTCTGCATTTAACATGGATGAGAGCAGAGAGGGTTGTGCTATACTCCTGCTCCAAAGGCAAATTGAGAAGGGTTGAGTGGGTTTGCTCCCTGGGATGACCTGGGTAATCCTCTGTGGGTGTGGCAGTTTTCCCTGCCAGCCCAGCATGTCTTTGGGAGGCTGTCCTAAAGCATGATTAGTAAAAGCCATGGAGTTGTACCATTTTTCAGTGTTTCTGCCCAAAATTTAAGCAGGATCCCTATCTTGCAATTCTTTAAATATATATTAATAAGTAATATATAAAAATATATATGGGTGTATAAGTCTGTTTGTATGTTTATATGTATATATGCATCCACACAGATATGTGTGTTAATCCCTGCTGTTGTGGCAGCTCAGATTCCAGGTATAACATCTGCTGAGGGTCACAGTCAGGCTGTTGGGAGCTGGTGTGACTCTGACATGACGATGACTGGCTGAAGTCAGAGGGTGACCAGGGCAGGTGTTTTTATGGGGCAGGGTACCATGAGGTCACACTGGACCATAACAATGGTGACCACAACATGTACAACCCATGACTCTAACTCCTCTGTGCTATGTGTTGAAACCAGGCATAGAATGTGCCTTGAAAGTTCTTTTGTGTTTGTTGAATACAGCAATATGCAGGGCCTTATGCATTAAGCATGACAATCTGGTTTTCAAATAGATGCTGTCCTGAATTTGTAAGTCCCAATCATCCTTTCTCCCCACGTATATGTGCAGAAAACACTGCTTTGGAGTAAGGTGGAGGTCCTGATTTAAGGTTTATCTTTTTTTTCTTTCTTTCTTTTTTTCTTGTAATGTGGCTGATTCCTGTGCAAAATAGGTCTATTGAGTGAACATCATGCTGAGTATGCCCCAGGTCACCTAGACTTTGCTTAGACTTCAAACTACAACTTCCATAAGCAACACTTGCATTGGAGTGCATTGCTTCCACTAGAAAAGGGACTGATAATGTAGGTTTCCAACCCCCTGGGAGTTCATTTTATGACCTGTCTTTCTGTAAGCTAAGAGGTGTTTGTCTTGTGTCCATGTATGATTATAAATGAAAAAGCATACTCTGTACTCTACTCCAGCCTTATAAACAGAAACGCAGACACAAGTCTTTATTGAGCTACAGTGAGCTGTTCAGCACAAAATTGAACTCCAGCCAACTCCACCTCTCAACACTGTATTAAAAACAGCTCAGATCCGGTTTTACATTTCCCTATTAGACTTGCGTTGGGATTACAAAGGCTAAGAGTAAATGGAAGGGAAAAAAATCACCTTGAGGTTAGGGCTTGCAGTTAACCAATAAAAAAGAAGGCGGCACCTAGCCAGGGGAAGGGCGTCCACAGGAGTCTCCTCCTGGAAAAAGATTAAAAGTTGGGAGTAAGAGAATTTGAGTGCTCAGTGTGAATAGGAAGGAAAAAAGCACTCTGGATGGCAGGACAGTGAAAATACTGGAGTGAAAACTAAAATTCTATAAGAACTGTCTCTAAAGAGCTGATGTTGCTGCAGAAGAGATGCAGGGGCTAAGAAGGAAAGTGGAATTAGTCACACGCAATGCTGGACTTGTGCCTGTTTGCTGCCAAACGTGCCCACCTTCTTGTGTTCCCTGAACCAGGCAAGCACTCTAGAAGGAGAGAGATTTTTGATATGACAACCTCAGTTAACAAATTGTTCAGCAGACATGAATCAAAGCCATGATTGACTCCCCCATCAGACTCTCTCCACTTGTTTGATAAATTATGTGTTATGGGAATTTCTGGTGGCGTGGGCCACAGAGTATGCCAGCTTGCTTGAGTTGGTTTTTGAAAAAGATAACCTAGGTAGGATAAAACAGGACTCTTGACCCAAAATCTGATCTAGAATGGTTTTTCTAGTAGGACAAGGAAAGAGGAAGGATGGAAACAACACTTTTAAGGCCTTTTTCTTGTTGGGTTTTTTTTTCTATTTCCAGTAAATACAAAGATAAAACTACTAATTACAAAGAGTGACAACTGTTCTCATTTTTTCAGGCCAGAAGGAAAGAGAAGGCACTAGCAAAAATGTTGTGAGAAAGCTCTTTCTTGTGAGATGTGACACAAATTTTAGGCTCAAGTGCAAGATTTTAAAAAACAGGCAGCTTAATTTATGCATTCTAATCACTGTCCTTACTTTCAAAATGAGTAAGCACCAGCTACTCCCACAGTGATCACTAATTTTTAAAATTAGGCCATCTGAATAATGGTGTCTGAGTCTAACATGAGGTTTTCCATATAAAATCAACAAAGAAAACCTGTTCAGGAGATTTGGTTAAATTCAGCTTCTTGAGGGTAATTATCCTAAACAATTTTCCAAGTAGTCTGAAACTACACTTTCATTCTTTACAGAAATTCCAACACATTTCAGAACTCTCAGGTATCATCAAAAGGGAATATACATGTTACTGGATGACAGGCTCTGTAAGTGTAGCTGTCAAAACCAAGGACCTTCAAAGGTTCTTTTAGGGAAGCAGGACTTGCCAGAACCTCAAAAGCTGCTGAGGTTAGAGGCTGTACAAAAAAGTGAGTTATTTTTCTGCACTTGTTTCTCTATTTATATTTAGAATATTCTTGTCATCAGTAATTAACAAAGGTTTACACAGGATTAACACAGGGTTCCTCCTCTTACCGATATTCAGAATAGTCCACATTATATTTGATATTTTGATTTGTTTTGAATATTTTTGTGGTGCTACACAGGGATACAGCACAGCTTTGTTCCTTCAAATGCCATTAAAGAGGACTTGTTGAGACTGTAATATTTATTAAACAGTTTAAATCCTCCTATTTCATAAACAAATGCTGTGATGTCCTTTTTCATTTGGATGTAGAAGCTCCTCACTTCCAATTTTTAATAGAAAT